GCCCTCCAGCAGAGCGCTTTGCGCCCATTAGTTGACTGTAGAGGACTTGGCGGGGCAGGCGATGTTCAGGCATGCGTATGGTGTGCCCTAGCCAACGCAGATGTTTTTGGGCCACTGCTGCTTCCATGCAGATTGAGTCAGTATTGCTAAGGATGACTGTGTGGGGAATTCGAGCTTCCCAGGACAAATTGAGGATCTTCTGTAGGCAGCGGATATGGAAGGCCTCTAGGTTAATAATGTGCTGGCGGTATGGGGTCCATGACTCTGCCCCATAAAGCAGAGTGGAGAGACATACCGCATTGTAAACAGCGACCTTGGTACTGACCTTCAGGTTATGGTTTTCAAAAACCCTGCTGCGTGGGCGTCCAAAAGATGATGAGGCTTTATTTATTCGGGTGTGTATTTCTGTGTCAAGGGAGCAACATGAGGACAAGGTGGAGCTGAGGTAGGTGAAGTGGTCCACTGTTTTACGTGGAACACCATTTATGTGAAAACTGGGGGGTATGGAGGCGGGGGTAGAGAGATAGGACATAACCTCGGTTTTTTGAGTGTTAACCTGTAGACCAAAAGATTGGTACAGACTAGATATTGTATTTAGAGCATGCTGCCTAGAGTCCGGGCTGTGGGCCAAAATGGCACAGTCATCAGCATACTGAAGCTCACAGATTTGGCGGGACTTTATCTTTCTGTGGGGCCTGGAGTCGACGGATGTTAAAGAGGCTACCGTCAAGTCGATATTCCACATGGACACCGTCTTCATGCCCCATGACACGATGGAAGAGGCAGGTGATGGCAGAGAGGAGGATGTTAAAGAGCACCGGAGCCAAGACACAGCCTTGCTTCACCCCAACGTTTACCTCGAAAGACTCAGACTGGAGTTCTCCCGTGAGTACTCTGGCTTGCATCCCATCATGCAGCTGCTGTAGGATGCTAAGAAACTTGGGTGGTACCCCAAGTTTGGAGAGGTTTCTCCAGAGCACCTCACGGTTGATGGTGTCAAAAGCTTTGCTGAGGTCGATGAAGGCTACATGAAGGTCTTTGTGCTGTTCACACACACACACACACACACACACACACACACACACACACTCACACACGCACACTTTTTAACTCTTATGAGAGATCATGGCTCTTCATAACAGCATAATTCATCATTCACTTCAATTAGCATGTATATTTTTCTTTTCACATTGATACTGCAAATTACCCAAATATTTAACTTACAATCGGTTTCACCAGCCAGTCAGATTCCTTAACAGTCAATCTATTAAACAAAAGAAGAAGAAAGAGAGAGAGAATGTATATTTATTTGGGGGTTAAAGACCATTAATATTACAATTAATAACAATAACAATTAATCAGTAATAACCACTAATATTATTGATTTAATGCACTTTCAGACACATCAGATAGAGTAACAGTTGATCTGAATAATGACTCTATTGTGATCTGTAGAGCTGAGCAGCTGAATTAGTTTCAGAATTACTGACTTTTACAACATGCACAGGACTGTGAGTCATTTACTGTTCAGTCGTTCTCTTATTATTCAGACTGGGAGTGTACACTGGAAATTGAATTGAGTTGAACAAGGATTAGGTTTGATTTTGGCATTGGTGGGGACATAACAGCAGACATTTAATTGTTTGATCAAAATGATTGCTATGGTAGTGTCTGATATTGGTAGGATCATGTCAGAGCGTGTCTACTAAACTCTACAGCCTTGAACATCATAACTAGCGATGACCGACTTTGGAAACTGTAGTTCTCTCCTTAAATATGACGAGCTCAAACAACAGATTAATGAGTTCATCCTAATTTCACACAAAGCGTATGAATGTAATTCTAATATAAGTCAGACACTGAAGAGGGTTTCTTCTGAAGAAGATTCATTCACTTGTTTGCCAAAGAACCACACAGAGACATTTGCTCAGATTTATTTAATGTTCATCATTTTTTAAGTGACTTTTCTTTCTGTTTTAAAGATGTTTTCTTTGGATTGTTTGACTACTCAAAAGAGAATATAGGAAAATATTACTTTTGTGTTTCCTGCTAAATTTCACATACAGAAACAAAAATGTACTGCCTCTAAATCTCTATTTTCTTAATTAAAGCTGATCTAGACGAGTATATGGAAACTATCCAAAACTCTGTTCATCCTAAAGCAGTGAAAACTGCATCTCTATATTCATCCTATGTGTTGTGTACACTTAAGGTGTAAATTTATTACTTTTTTATTTTTGTGAACCTGCCAACACATCCCTATGAATAGTAACCATGGTTTTACTACAAAAAAAACCCTGATTATTTAAACCATGGTAACCACAATTATCAATGGTTTTGCTACACTAATCATAGTTTAACCATGGTATCTGTAGTAAAACTGTGGTTATACAAAATAAAAAATCTATGGTTACTACACTTTTATAATAAAACCATGGTTAGCCTAATTTACGTATGGGATTTGTATCTGTGTATACTTTATTTTTTTCTTTCTAACTGCACTGCCTTAAAGGTCACATATTATACATCTTTCTGGAGTTTTATTTTAGGTTTTGATGTCCGTAAGAATATATATTTGCGGTATGTACCAAAAACCATCTCAATATATTTTTACAGCTCCTCTCTCAGGAGCTCTGCTGAGAACAGGTCGATTTTGGCCCGTCTAATTAATATTCATGAGCCTCTCTTCTGATTGGCCTGTTGTTTTCTGAGTGACGCACGGCCAGGCCAACCACAGGTAACTATCGTCTAA